AGATAGAAACTGACAAAAAGAAAGACATGATATATATATATATATATATATATATATATATATATATAATGACGAATTTAGCCAAATACAGCAACCTCATCCGCAATAGTGAGTGGCATGTTACGTCCATACAACAACACGACAGCTTTATTGCAAACAGGCGAGTGCAGACTCACAAGGGGTCTCGCGGTATCTAAAGTACGATTGATGTTGAGTGATTGGATTATCACTGCCGCTATGACACCCCCTAACACTGGATCACTGCCAATAGTCTCTGATCAGCGGTCGATAGCTGGCTTTTCTGACCCGGCCATTATGGGCTTTTTGAAATCGGTTTCCGCGGAGTTGACGATTCGCAGTATGTTTCTTACATTGTGGAGGTTGTATTCAGGCATCTGAACTTCCTAACATTTGGTCAGGTTTGGCGGAAAGCTTTCAAAAAACGAACTGCCAAGAACCAACACAATCTTGCTGAGTTTCACGGGGCGGTCACTGTTGCCTTACCCGAATTCCGCCACTCACAGGACGATATGCTCCTGTGATCTTTGAATTGGTGGCACGCTACATTGTATCCGGGCTCTCCATCTCGTTCCACACTGTTAGGTACAGTACTTGAGAAATTATCCTCAATTCGTAGACTCTTTGGCTATATGTGTACGGCTTAGGTTCCGTCCACGTCCAGCGACGAGTTACGAGGAGCTAAATGAGTTTGCGGTATTGTCTGTCTGGTAAATTTCCCGACTAACGCCTTGGTGGTTTCTGTTCGACATGCCTTTAGAGTGGGTTCGACTAGTACTTGGTTATCGACGCAAGCTTTTGACCCCCAACTATTCTTCAACTGGTTGCCCTTCAATTGTTTGTTCCCTTGGTTATGCGTGTGGTTCCTTTGGGAGTCGGGGACCTCATTTTCTATTTTTAAGCTTTTTAGCAACCGTTGACTCGTGAGTAAATCTTAGGAGACTTTGTTATCTATGGAAGTCAATCATCAAGTAGCTGGTCCTTAGCAAGCAAAAGCAACCTATGTGATTGGTTTGCTTTAAAAAATTCCAGAGCGATACCAAGTTGTTGTAAAGATTCGGGGCTTAGATATGTTGGCTTCAAATCCATAAAACTATACCCAGCCGAAGTTTTTTAATTAGAATCATTTGCGTACAGTGTTCCTTCAGTGGATATGCTCCCTAACGTGTTGCGTCACGCCGCTAGTACTCTCAAGCTTTGAGGAACCCATTAACCACTTTGGCCCCCATGCAAGTTTTTTGGGCGTGCGCTCCCCACTTAATAGTGCTGTCGCTGAGCTGTTCATACCTTTCGACAACATGTGCTCCATTGATTAACAACTATCTAACGGGATAGTGAGACAGTCATTTCCAAACGTTTTTCTCATTTCAGGCATTTCACTCAATGTAGAGCAATGGGACTACCTGAAGAGCGTTATGAGTGAAATCGACCGTGATATCGTGAACATGCATCGATAAGATTCCTCAATACCTATTTTTTTAATTGTTCCACAATTCAAATTGTATGCAGAGGATGAGTTTCTTTTTTACTCTTGGTTCTTCTTGGCCGTCGTACCGCCTGTCATTCATTATTGCTCTTCTAGAACATTCTCCTTTCAGTCTAGATAGGTCAGTGGCTAATACATGAAGCTACTGACGAGAAGGTTTGCAGTCCGAACACAACCCAGGCTTTTCGGTAACTCCTGTCTATGCTTGGGCAACCTGACAGAATCTCTTCGTACTTCGACGAGAAGGTTTGCAGTCCGAACACAACCCAGGCTTTTCGGTAACTCCTGTCTATGCTTGGGCAACCTGACAGAATCTGAACCTTCGTACTTCTGAGTTGCATGATGCTGTGCACCGAGCTGGTCCCACAGCTGAGCGGTTATGATTACTATACCCATATCGTGACACGATTGTTCTGCTTAGTTCACAATAAAGGGGAAGCTCTGGGTTTGCATTTCGTACATAGTAGCACTGTGAGATTGATGACAATCAGTAGATTTGTTGCTGGGCAGCGTTTCGCTTTTGACGCAAAAGCTTCGTCAGTCCAAATGTGACTAGGTTACAATTTCGGTCGAGATTTAAGGCGGAAGGAGAACCAATCAGCTAAGTCAGGCTAAATCTCTGTTGGGTGTCGACCGAGGGATTTTAGTATGTTAGAGTGTTTGAACAAGTGTTGGGTCGGTGGGGTCCAGTCCTAGGGTCTAGTTCTTCTGGTCGGTTCATTTTAACTTCGTTTGAACCTCTTGTCAGCCTGTGTGGGTGATCTAGTGCTAAGAAAGTTGTGTAAGAGGGATGCTGTGACCTTTGGTCGGTTGGGGTTTCCACCCCTACCCCCCGTTTTTTTCTAATGGTCCTAAGTGGATTGACAACCACAACGTCACGTGTCAACTCGGCTTATCTAAGACCGCTTTCCATACGCTCGCTAGCTCCACCCCCTCGATTCTATTCACGCTGTGATGCTTAGTGATTTCCACCGCCTCGGCTATCAGCCGCTGTGGTGTGAATCGCACTTTGCTTTGAATATCTAGGGCCATGCCGATATTCGAACGGAACGTTCGGCATTCGAGGCGAACATCACTACTACTCCACCAGCGCAACCGAATTATCACGTTCGAGCAGGCGAAAATCTTAACCGTCAGGCGATGCGAATGGTTTTTGCGGCGCCTCAAACAAAGACCCGGCAACTTGCCGGGTTGTGTCGAACGATTGGCCTGCAAGTCGGATAGCGAAGCTTCGAATTTAGTTTGGATGCTATACTGGTTTTGGAGATCTATTTATTCTATGGCGTGACGGGGCCACATCTCTTTTTAGTGGGAAGCACATCGATCAAAATTACACGCCGTGGTAGGGCAATCTTGCTTGACTTTGAACTGGAGGTTCCTTGCTCAATCCTTTCTATCGTCTCCCTTTATGGCAGGCCTTCACTGTCTGACTCTGTCACTCCTAGCCAGTTGCTTTGGTCTTCCTACTCTTTTTCGGACGTTACAATGATCAGCTAACAAGACCCGACCTAAAACAGCATCTTGTGGTGGTGCAATGATCATGCGGGCTTCACTGGCTGGAACTCAGTTCCTTGTGGTTCAACCGTTCCTGGAAGGCCAACGAAAAAGAACGAAGAGTCTATACTTCGAGGGGTTGTATTGAGTTGCACTGTCGTCTGTGATGAGTATGAGAATAATAAAGTGTTTATTCAGTGTGTCCATATTTATGGAAACAGCGAGGCTGCCTTACTCTGGGAAAGACGGTTTAGAAAATGATAACCCTGAAAACCGTACACAGTTCAATCTAACGATTGACCGTAGTCGACAACGTATTCAATACAGTCGAAGCACTTTTGAAATCAAAGTCTGGTACTGCTCAGAAGTCACTTCCTATGCGCAGTCGCATTAGCAGTCAGGCAGTTAAGCCCTACTCTATGCGTCGTCGGGTTAGGCCAGACCCTGGCAGCCAAATGGGATACACTGTTGAGTCATTGGCTTCGGAAAGAGTCCCGGTAGAAAACCCTAACATCCGCTGCCTCGCAGTTCAACGTTTTGAACCAAAGGTTAGGGGAAGTTTCCGAACAAAACGTCTACATTCTTTCACCTCCTTATGGTCCAGAATTTGAGTTCAAGTCTCCAGCTGAGGTGCTTCAGCCAAATCTTCTTCGAACCAAAGGTTAGGGGAAGTTTCCGAACAGAACCTCTACATTCTTTCACCTCCTTATCGTCTAGAATTTGAGTTCAAGTCTCCAGCTGGGGTGCTTCAGCCAAATCTCCTTTTGCCTGATCAACTGGGCAGTGTCACTCGACCCCGCAGCTCTTCGTTCACTGGACTTCACCTGCACCCCCTCCCTACCCATCGGGTGGTGCACTACGGCCAACCAATCCGTCACTCCCCTAACTATTATTCCGCATGTCAACTACCGCAAAAAAAACAAAGATTGGATTAACGTTGCAAGCCTCAATGTTCGTATTCTCTGTCAAATCGGACAACAGGCATCTTTCGTCTAAACCTTGTTTTTCATCTTTTTTGACGTGTGTTGTGTCTTAGAAACAAGCACAGAAGAACAAACTTGGGTCATGCACCAGGTGATTAATGCCACGCTCTTCTGGTATTTGTTGATCCTGGTGCAATGGATTGTTATTTATAGTGTAAGAGTTGCACTTAGCTCCAGGTCTGAAAGCGCTCAACTGGACTGCATCCTAGTAAAAAGTCATATTTGCGTTGTACGGTTGTCTACTCAGGATTAATGCATGTCAATGCGATAAACGATGTTTATTTGTGTAAGCATGCGCCCCTAGAGACTGGTTATGAAGCCGAGAAAGATGGATTTTGACAAGGTCCATCCGACTAGGGTGATCAGCAAGATGAACAGACATCATCATCCTGGTGGATGATAAGAACGTCCGAGTGGGACAACGAAGTCCGGAATAGGCGCAGTCAAGTGGTAGATTCGGGGCCGGATGATAGGGAGCGACTTTTCAGTTGTGTGCTGGACATCGTCTGTTCCTGGCCAGTACGAACATTCGACACAAGCGCTCTTCACATCGAGAAATTTGAAGGCCACCAACCCCAATCCTGCCATGAATTCAAATAGATCATATGACAGTCAGGTATTGACAGTGAGCTCCAGTTGAAGATTACCGCACCTTCTGGGCACGCAAGTTGAATGAAACCGATCATCCCATTATCCAGGCTCGGTTATGAGTTACCTTTCCCTGAGTATTACGCGTGCCGAGGTATAGCAATTCTGTTCAACTTTGTCGAGTTTTATCACCTCAACATGCTGATCTCACTGGAAAGTTACTGGGAACGCAGAGTTATGCTGGTAGTAAATATTGGTTTCAGGTGGAGCGGATGTAACTTGGAGAAACCATACTACCAGCCTCTAGATATATCTGTCCAAGCCATCCTACTCGAGTAAATGAACACGGGGGGGGGGAGATGGTCCAAGTGGTTAAAGCGCGAATCCGACCTGTCTAGGCTTGGGCAACCTGGCAGTATCCCAGCCCTCGTGCTTCCTTTGAGTGGCATGGCAGCTAGGCACCGAAAGGATGCTACAGCTGAACGCTTTTAAATGAACACTGGATATAGTTCATTTACAAAACCGTCGTTTTGAACGATTGGCTAGCCGGCCTCCGCCAACAGTTGTGGAGAATTCGAACCATATGTTTCGCGGATAATTCTGACTCAATCCCGCCTATGACGCGTTTTTGCACACAATGCAGAGATGCGTAGGTTCGGGAAATGCTCAAGGGTCGTTGCTCTCTCCTTGGTTTTGAGGCTGTTGAGAGATTGGTAACCAAACACTTGCATAGACCTCGGGTTGGAGGGGCTAAGTCTCATAACCATGGTGAAAGACAGCTGCTTGGTATACAAGGCCCCTTGGCTTCAGCAAACCTCCGTTGTGACGTGACAAAAAAGCGCATGTTGGAGAAAACTATTCTCGCCTTGATCATTCACGCACTTGTTACACTACTGTCGTAACGGTGAATACTATTGATGGAGCATGCGAGTAGCATGTGGTCTTCTTGTAACTCCGCCTTCATCTAATGGAAGGTGGGATCTATTAGGGATTTTGTGGAACTGCTTTCCAGAATTCCGTTACAGTTGGGTGATAGTCAGTGAATATCCCAGAAGGTTCAAGAAGAAGACAAAAACAAGGTGCATATGGGAGTTTTACTTTCCTGTCCCATATTTTGTGACTGTTTAGTTGGTTGCCTAGTAAACAACTACACGGCGACGAGGTTTCCCTCTTTCAATGTCATGGCTTATGCAACTGCCAGAATCCGTGAACCTACCAGCAAGCCCAAGCTCTTCATTCTGACATATCAGGGAGAAGGCATAAAATGCATGTCAAAACATGGGACTATCTACGATATTCTGGTTGAGGTGATCTGTGCGGTCAAGTCATCGTCAAACAACACGACTATGTCGTCTGCATAATCCAGATCCGTTACTTTCTCTCCGAATACGATTTCGTCACCTAATCTCATGGTCCGTTAGAGAATACACTCCATGATGACGTCAGCGATGAAGTTGGACAGAAAGGAAGGTGGAGAAAACTCTATCTCCAGTAGTTGTCAGGACACCTGTGGATAGTTTATCGTACACTCTAACCCGACTGGCGATGTGGAAATGTGGTCACGTGCTCCATATGCCGCTTGACCGACATCCTCGAATAGCCTTTCCGCACAACCACAAGAAGGTTGGCAACGGAGCAGGGGAGGTCAAACAATGACTTCGCAGCGAGGTATGAAAGGCATTACCAGCAAAATCAGTGGCGCTGGTCGTTCCTATCTCCCTGGATGAGGACCTCGAAACAGGACACATCAATAGTTAGGGATATTGCCAGACATGGCTCATCGACCCCAGTGGCGCACGTACGTCCAATCTGTTGCCTGAAATGCATATCTCCCTTTCCGACATCCCCATTGAAAAGGCCATTAACACTGTTTACGCATCGATTATATCGTCTACTGCCTCGAATGTATAGCTATCTTCCCCACCTCCTCAAATCATCGGCGAACGAAATTGTGGAATGACCACGATGACGATCACAAATTACCAGCCAGGTATCAATTTTAACTTGGGTAACCTGCTAGCATCTCCATCTCTTTTCCTGTTCCACACCAACGACACATACCGGGCGCGGCAAGTGACCACTCAATGTACCAAAGGACCAGTGAGTATTGAATGAAAAAAGGCGTCATTAGAGTTTAGGGAGCCTTACAACAGGAACAGGGAGGTGTGTGCATTATCCATTTACAGGGTGACAAAACAAGGCGGCCCATGGATCTTCGAAGAGGGATATGTGAAAACGAGTGACCTATAACATACTGGTTGAGGGTGAAACAAAGTGAAAATGAAAAGAAAGTGGAAATGTTTCCAAGTGTTTGGAAACAAATTCTAATGTCAGTTGGACAACAAGACTAACGCGAAAACTGAAAAGAAAAAAACAAAACAGAACAAGGAATGCGGTGGTTTCAGCAACTTCAATTTTATCGACATGCACGGGCAACCATCAATGAAAAAGAGACAACAGAGCGCCGAAAGAGGGGTTAATGAACGCCCGCAGGGATGGCACGCACATGTCCGATGGCCCACTCAGAAGGGTTCACCTCACGCATCCTTGTCAATCACAAACAATACTTCAGGTTTAGACAAGCCCAGTTGTAGGAAAGTTGGTGGGTCTGTAGGTGAGTGTGGAGACCAATCCGAAACGATGTTTGAGCCACCAGTCTTGGTGTCAAACGGGATCGAATGTTGTGCCGTGGAAGCGTGGCAGCTTGCATCCGGAGAGGACCCATCCTCTCCGTCAATGTAATCTTCAAGGTCAGACTCTTGCTCAGGTTGACAAGGGAGAAGCCGTTTGGGGAAATTAGCCTGTATCTCAAAATTCTCCGGAGCATCGTCGTGCGATAGTATAAAGTAGTACAATATCTGCAAGAGATAAAAAATGTTTTGTTAAAATGGAACAGAAGAATAGACTTATGGTAGAGCTTGACGATCGAGCCTCACAGGAAATTTAGTGACCGTATGTTTCGCTTCGCTTCCATTCAGAAAAGGCTGTAGCAACTGCCCGCTTTGTGGTTCGCGTGCCTGCTAGGCTGTCCCTAAGCTTCCTACGGACAACCCGTTACTATAGTAAATCACAAACCTTCCCAAGGTTCTTCAAATGACACCATGACAGAAACAAGAAACAACAGCTGAACGATATCTCCATCTTTATAAACCGTAACACAGCTCAACCAAAAGTTTATTTGGAAGCCCTGTACTACAGCCCAGCGAAGCGGTCGACTATACATTATCTCATCTATGTGCCTGCTGCATCGTTACACATCATCATGAGTGAAGCTATCTGAGTGAAAAAGCACGCGGGCAATGCGAAGGAACACTGAAAGACACTCGCCTTGACGGAGTCATTCACACGGAACGTCCGGTGCACTCTTCGGCCGTTGGGTAGTTTAACGGAGAGCTGAACTGTCGAAGGACTGTTTTGTTCGGGTTCTGGTGGAAGACAAACACGCCATCTTGTTCGGCGATTCGCCCGTGCCCGTTTAAGCGCATCCTGTCGCCGTCTTAATCGAGCTTGCTCAGCCGCTTCAAGGGCGGCGTTCCGCTGTTCTTCCTCCCGAGCGGCTAACTTGGCCCGGTCACGTTCGAGTGATTGTTTGTAAGCCAAGTCCTGTTCCTCTCGTATCCGAGCTGCGGCCTCGCGTTCCCTTCTACAAGTAGCGGAATAAAGTTATCTCGTCTCAATGTTATTTGATGGAATTATAAAAAAATACTGAGATTGCCTGATCTGACTGAGCCGTGCTAAATGGACAGCTACTTCTAACATTGTGTGACCGACAACCACCAGACGGAAAGCAACCGGAGAGAGTTTACTCCGTCATCGTTTGTGATGCTACTGTCGTAACCTTGACCGGAACTCGAGGTCAGTATAAACCCATCAGTTGGATACGCGTCTGTATCGACCGACCTGTTTTTCGCTGCACTATTGATTTACGAGTCTCTCAGTTCACCGTAGACCGCTCTTAACCGACCGACTGGTGTTTTCGCTTTGTTCAGATCGCCAGTTTCAATTCTGGTGCGGTAAACGTCGGTTCGAAATATGCCACCTCTCCCGTGTCGGGTTGTAGCAGGAATCGTGTGTACACTTTGAAATCACGGTGTTCACTAAGCTTCTAGGGCCGCCAAGCCTCGTAAGTGAACGAAATACAACCCTGTACAGTGCTGTCGATAGAACAGTGCTGTCAGTTTAAGCTTTGTTCTTGTAGCCCTTCTGCTTGTCCACAGGGATGAAGCGACACCACGGACAGACACATCTCAAGCATCTTACTCCCAGCGGGCTCTCAAAAGAATGAAGATGCTGAGGCCAGCATATTCATTTTGTTTTTTCCGTCGATATGGCAAAGAATAAAGCAAGATTGTTGAAGACTCTTCTACAGACTGTGGCCGGTTTTGCGCTTCTCGGGACTTGCCAATCCTCGAATTTTCACCAACCTTATGTTTTTCGAAAAAAACTACGCAGTTCGCATAATACACTAATTTGTTGTCAACTGGAAACTGAGCGTTACCAGGGGGAGATTTTTCGCGTTATTGTGAGTTCGCCTGTAACTGTGGTTGGACCGGGTGTGTGTTGCTTGATATTTCGCCTCCATCCCAATGGGATGTGTTTCTACGATGCCTTCGGTGGGTTGGTTTTAACGGACCGTTGAGGCCAAATCAATTGTCGCCTCAATTAACTTCAGAACCTGTCAGTCGTGTCGAATAATGCTCTAAACCGATAATCAGGAAGGCGAATTGGGCACATGGTGTTGCAGCGAATACCGATAAATTTAAGGCAGGTATCAATAAAAAGGACGAGTAGTGACAAGCGCATCCAAAGTCATTGAGGCATATAGCGGAGCAGGACGAACTGAGTTTGAGATCACAATGGTTCTGTTAGTTGTTGGTATCATCTGGAAGATTTCCGGTGGCGGGTGAAGCAAGGTAAATGCATGAAGCAGCCAGCTAAAAATGCGTGAGCGATTGAAGAATGGGTTGATAAATGAAGTTTGCTACAGTGTGAATCCCTTTTTGAATGTACTTTTTACGAAAGGTGTCGCCTATATTTTCGAATAAATTTGTAACCGCGTGATGCGAGATGGCTCCGTGGTTAGAGCGCGAATTTACTGACCGGAATGTCCGTGGTTCGAACTCGACCTCTGCCTCTGCCTCTCGACTTTCCCGGTCTAGGCTTGGGCAACCCGGCAGTATCCCAGCCCTCGTGCTTCCTTCGGCATGGCATTGCAGTTAGGCACCGAAATGATGTTACAGCTTAACGATTATTTTCTTTTTCTTTTTTATCATTGTAACCGCGTGACGAAAAGCCACATCAACTGACAGAACTAGAGGGTGTTAGCGACGGCTAAAATTAGTGCGATGTAACCGGTCAACACTGCTAGAATCGACAGGTGCTTCATTGATTCATTGCTCTATGGTCGTGTTACGTGTGTTCTGGTAACTGAGTGAACATCACTCAACATGGTCATTAATTCTTGAGAAAAATACTAAATCACATGTGCATAATGTTTTGGGTGTGTTACGTGTGGTCCTACTGACGCAAATGAATCCTTGAGTTCTACAGTATGGTGAAGGTCATCATCGACATGAACGTTAAATGTAGACACCGGTGCTTCACTACGGGAGATTTTTCGCGTTATTGTGAGTTCGCCTGTAACTGTGGTTGGACCGGGTGTGTGTTGCTTGATATTTCGCCTCCATCCCAATGGGATGTGTTTCTACGATGCCTTCGGTGGGTTGGTTTTAACGGACCGTTGAGGCCAAATCAATTGTCGCCTCAATTAACTTCAGAACCTGTCAGTCGTGTCGAATAATGCTCTAAACCGATAATCAGGAAGGCGAATTGGGCACATGGTGTTGCAGCGAATACCGATAAATTTAAGGCAGGTATCAATAAAAAGGACGAGTAGTGACAAGCGCATCCAAAGTCATTGAGGCATATAGCGGAGCAGGACGAACTGAGTTTGAGATCACAATGGTTCTGTTAGTTGTTGGTATCATCTGGAAGATTTCCGGTGGCGGGTGAAGCAAGGTAAATGCATGAAGCAGTCAGCTAAAAATGCGTGAGCGATTGAAGAATGGGTTGATAAATGAAGTTTGCTACAGTGTGAATCCCTTTTTGAATGTACTTTTTACGAAAGGTGTCGCCTATATTTTCGAATAAATTTGTAACCGCGTGATGCGAGATGGCTCCGTGGTTAGAGCGCGAATTTACTGACCGGAATGTCCGTGGTTCGAACTCGACCTCTGCCTCTGCCTCTCGAATTTCCCGGTCTAGGCTTGGGCAACCCGGCAGTATCCCAGCCCTCGTGCTTCCTTCGGCATGGCATTGCAGTTAGGCACCGAAATGATGTTACAGCTTAACGATTATTTTCTTTTTCTTTTTTATCATTGTAACCGCGTGACGAAAAGCCACATCAACTGACAGAACTAGAGGGTGTTAGCGACGGCTAAAATTAGTGCGATGTAACCGGTCAACACTGCTAGAATCGACAGGTGCTTCATTGATTCATTGCTCTATGGTCGTGTTACGTGTGTTCTGGTAACTGAGTGAACATCACTCAACATGGTGATTAATTCTTGAGAAAAATACTAAATCACATGTGCATAATGTTTTGGGTGTGTTACGTGTGGTCCTACTGACGCAAATGAATCCTTGAGTTCTACAGTATGGTGAAGGTCATCATCGACATGAACGTTAAATGTAGACACCGGTGCTTCACTACCGTCGGACCATGTCAACACGCCTCAAGAAGGCCATATATTCGAAAGAAACGGGAGGGAGAGGGGGACCTGAGGTTAGCCTACCACAAACGTCCGACTTGTCTACGTCTCCAGCACCAAGTCCAGATTGAAATTGACAGCATGAACACCACTGACACCGGTCAACCGCCTATTCGTTCAGTGTCCAGCCAAGCACAGGAAGGGTCACGTGGACACTTGGAAGGGGAACGGCACCCGCACTATTCGTCACATTCTAAATCTCCTTCTGTCATATCAACTTCTGTCCACTTCTAGGTGTCCGCTACCAGAATCAGGCACGGCGAACAGCATTCGTCTCAGCATGCGTAACAGGGGGCCCATTCATCTGAGATTGCAGCGTCCAATCCATTCTTCAATAGCACTATCGTTCGCTGCACTGGAAAAACCGTCTCGCGATCAATCTACTGTAAATTAACTGGTTGTAGGCGGTTTTAGCAATACTTTTGAGACATTGGTGGTTAGAGACCTGAAGGTGTGTCAGATCATCCACCTGAACTGGCCAAATCTCGCAGCCGTCTGATAGACTCGTCCTCTGAGACCCAGCAAAACGCCTTCTCGACGCCACAAGTGGCGTAAACACAACTCTGGCCTTCGAGATTCGTGCGTTTACTTCGACTATCACTATCGTCAGAGCTAAATATGACCTCAAAAATGCGATGGTGTTCCACAACCGCCAGTGTCACTCCCTCGATTCTCAAAGGCATGCTTAGAAAACTGTATGTCCTGCAGCACAAATTCGCACTTTGTGGGCGTGAAACACATCCCGAAGAATTAGATGACCTTGGTTAGCTTTTCAGGTAATGACTGTGCTGCCTCGCGCTCGTTCTCGCAGATGAGAACAATGTCATCTGGATATTCAAGGTTGACAAGGTTCATTCTCGGACGGATCCAAACAGCGGGTTTTTGAAGACCTTCCAGTGCGCTCCCAGTCATCCCATCACTAATAAAAACAAACAAAGATGTAGAGAGTAGACACTATTGTGGGACATCACTGTTTGTAGAAAATTTTCAGGGAGTTCTCTAGCAATAGTGTATAGTGATGATCCGCCTCGTCTCATTAGTGTGTTGTGTCTTCAGGTTTGACATGTAGTTAGCCAGCCCTGCTCATAGGCCCAGCAATTCGCAGAACGGACTAGTTTTTATTGCTTCATCTGCAAATTCAATCAGTGGATACCAATGTGGAGAGACACTGATAGGTGTAGTCTAATCATCGTTGTATCGAAGGTGTCACCTTGGATATATGATCTCAACATAGGGACACTTTTTTACCATCAACTACGCAGTTAGTTGTCAGAACTGTTTACATCAGGGCATCTGAAACATCTCCTTCAATGCGCAGATGTCTCCATTCTTTTTTCCTTGTCACCGACTAGTAAACTGTGATCGTGTAATGCATAGCTTGTGACTGACAAATTCAACTGACAGTCACATTTAGGTGGTGCCCTAAAAGCACCGATCCGGAGTTCGACAGCTCAATGTAAGCGGTTGCATTCAGTTTGGATGACCTCATTCGGGGTTCACAGGATCGTTGAAATTGGGAATTTTTTCGGGGTGGGGGGGATAGTCGTCTGGAAACAGTAACCCCCTAGAATGGACTTCCCCAAGGGATTACATAAAGCCTATATTGAGTGTCTGGAAAAAAACAAAAGGCCGCTTCGGTTGACATTTTGTGATAAAGTTGTCATTTCAGTCGTTTCTTTTTGCAGAATCTCTATCGAGCCAAATTTGTTTGCGCAGTAAATAATAATTATTGTTCAGCACGCTTTTGGCGCCCAGCTACCGTGCCGTGCGGAAGGAGGAAAGAGGGCTAAGATACTGCCAGGTTGCTCAAACCTAATCAAGAGCTGTCGAGATGCTGGTTGGCTTCGAACCACAGACCTCTCGGTCCGTAAAC